AAAAAAAAAAAAAAAAAAAAAAAAAAAAAAAAGGCAACTCCTCATATAATACGAAACACCAAATAACTGTTCTATTTCACCTAGACACTCAAAATGGTCTGACTATCCACCACAACAACTTATTCATAAGCCAGAATGAATTTTCCAGAAGGAAAACAGGGTCTTCCTTCTATTTAGTGCCTCCCCACATCTAAGTATTTCCATGTCTTTATTGGTCTGCTATTTTTCAATTCTAGTTATCTTTCTGAAGTTATACACTGATGTAGCAAGATTTTCCATTTTGTTCATTGTAGACTTCATGATGAGGGCTCTCATGGAGACAGAATGCTGATTACAGCAAACCGTCAGGTCCTTATTTTGGTGGCAACATTAGCTGAAAGTCCAACATTGTATTGGATAGAGTTAGCATTGTTTCCCACTCTCCAGCATTTTTTCGCATCTATTGGCACAGTCATTTTAACATTTTTATCAGTCACAGTCTCCACTATGAAACCTTTATGTGGTTCCCAGCTATTCATTTTAGCCAGTTAAATCTGTATTAGCAGAAATGTTATTATTTGACTATTTTCTGATTTCCCTGATCAGAAAACACTGTCTGTCTGTAAGACTCCATCAGCAGCCTTCACTCTGGAGCCTAGCCATTCATTCTTATTTTCCCTTCTGTCTTCTAACGAACACATAGTCTGTGACAAGAACGTCTGTAAGACTTCTTGGTGAAGACTCTTCTTAACAGCATTTTGAAAAGCCAAGTATCTTGTGTTACCCAGCATTTTCACTGTCTCCTTCAAAGAACTTTCTAATATATTTGTGAGGCAATGCTTCCCCTTGTAAAATGGAAATAAAATACTTAATCTCTTCTTTATTGTATCATTAATTCCTATTGGAATGACTATTTCCTATTTCATTAAAATCTATTCTTTGCTAGAATTTCTGCCAAAGAACTTCCTTCTGCTTCAAGGACTTCTTAAATAATTGATGTCATATGGTCCAAATTTCATTCCCCTCCAGTTACTAACCCAGCAACATCTTACTTGTGTTAGTTTAAAGTCCTGACTAAATACCATATGGTCACAATATTTATCATTTCTCTTATTAAGGTCTTTGATTGAAGCTGTGGTCCACCAGTAAAGCAAATCCAGCACCAGGGATACTAGCATCAGACCAAAAACGTAACAGTTACGTGAATGCCAGTCCAAATGTGTTCACAGAATTTTGTCTCATTGGCTTTGAACTGGCAGTCTCTATATGTCATGACATATCATTTATCTTTTATTCTACTGCATAAAATCAGCATAAAGTCCAAGTTATGCATGCTTACTAAATAAACAGAAATGTACTCACCTACCGACATTTGCACCAGTTGAAACTTGTACTGACAGATGATCTGCTAGTGTGCATTGATGATGATGGGACATCAGCCTCACACTTATTTAGAGGTTAATATCCTTATAAGATATGCTTTAAAAACTCAAAGCTCCATTTTACATGGGTTCAAAAGTTATGTCAATTCATGGGAGGATGAATGAATGCTTATCAGGACTCACTGCAGATCACTGGAATCTGCTACCACATAGCATTCAAGTGTCTCAGCATGCCAGCCCTATTTTATTCCTCTTCAGGCATCTGCTAATGTTCACAGCTGGATTCAAACACTAAACAAGATAAAAATAATTTGATCTACCACCACCAATCCAATGTGGTCTTTAAGTTTCGCTTGTCCCAAAACAAAAAAAAATTTATTCCAACAGAATATTCCCATTTCACTGTTCCAAAACTCATTTGTATCTCATCTCCCAGTTATATCTCATTGTCCTCCACATCAGAATACATAACAACTTCCTGTGAACACCAGATCATGTTCTTACATGTGTTACCTTAGGGTTCTCTCCATGCAGCAAGCTTAGTGGGAAAAAAGAGATCAAAGAGACTACAGATGAGTATAAGGAATTGTCACCCTGAGAATCAGGCCTTCGATATCTTTTTTTACACGTTCTAGTCACTTTCCCAGGAAAGTAACTATAAACATAGGTGTTTATACATTCCATTAAAGATATGCCTTTTGATGGACATCACTCATGGCCAGTGTGGTTGGGGAGGTGTTAACCTGACTATCCAATCCCTGGTCATGGTCGAAAACCTATAAATACTGAAAGAACAAATAAACAATTCACTTTCTTTCACCACCTCTCGAGCTGCGTCTGTGTGAATCATTTTGTGTCCAACAGTGACAAGGAGTTAATTTGCAAAGGTCAGGACAAGAAATGAAGTGAGTAGCAGTGCTAGAAATCCCCTGTTTTCTAATCCTCCATGCCTTGGAGAATCATGGGAACACACAGTTATTATGAGATCAAATTCTTCTGGATACTTCTGGATACTTAATTTTTTTTTTTAAATCTACATACAGAATTAAGACAATGTCCCCATGAATACAGATAAGCAAAACACTTTTGAAAGTGAAATCAAAGACTGCAAGGTTCTTGATTAGTAACATACTATCTCCAGATGGTTTTGTTTTGGTTTTGGGCAAAATATCTAATTTTGGGATGGGATTTTTTTGTTGTTGTTGTGGGGTTTTTTTTAAGAAATCTGTGGTATTTCAAATTTCTCTTTGAAAACCTTTTGTCCTTTTCTCTTTACACAGAAAATACTATGCCACAATAGAATGCCAAATGGTCACGCCTACCGAGTATACATGCAGCCATACTGCTGTTGAAATGAACTGCACTTACTAGAATAGAACACATACTTAGAAAATCCTAAAAGTGCCTCTCGGAATAATATCAAATCCCAAATATCTGAAAGATTAGAAATCCAGACCTAAGGCTGTCCTGAGCCACTGTAGTGCTGTCCCTTTATTAACACTGTAGTAGGGAAAAATAGCATGTGCCATACACACACATCTGCCTATTACATATGCATGTTATATGCATATGTAATGTATATAAATAAAATACATGTAATAAATAGAAATAATATAAATCTATCATAAATATATATAATAAATAATGTAATATATAATAAAAACATAATATATATATATATTTCAACATGACACAAAAAGGCAAAAGAGCTTTACACTGTTACATCTATATTTTCTGAAATTTCAGGTATCTCAAATACAGTGATGGAAATATTTGTAGTGTAGCGCACCATGCTTTCTTGCTGTTCCTTGGCACAGTGATTATTTGCCAAGTTGCCAAAAGTAAATAAATGAACCACTAATAAGATTCAAGTGTGCATTTATATACATTTATTCTGAGTTTGGGGTGCAGGGGGAGAAAAAAAGAGAAAGCTACATAAAAAAAAAAAATCTTTTAGCAAATAGAACCTGCAAAAAGCCTGCACTGTTCAAATGGCCTATGAAGCCACTGCAATCTAGGGGAGAGAAGAAAATACTGATAAATCAGTGATTTACATTAAGTGTTCCCTGTGACCTTATTCAAAAGTTTTGCTTTCTGCTCTGGTGGGATTAAGAAGAAAGGAATGATAACCAGTTCCAGAGAAATGTATTCATTTCAATATGGTAACCTTGTGTTTCAGTAATCAGCAAAACAGTATCAGGGAATCCTTCACCACCACTCGATGAATCAATAGCAATTACTATGACATTAATAAAATGCACCTACTTTCATAGTCAAACAAAAAAATGTCCTGATCCTAGTTAATTGTTGTTACTCTCTCTCAAAAATGCCAACTTTATTGCTACATAGAAAAACTGCTTCAAATTAGGAAAGAATTTATCCATTAAGACAGTAAAACTGCAATTATATCCAAAGATCAGGAATGTACTTGCCACGTACATAGTTTTTAAGAATCACAGAAAATAAAGATCTAAATCTAAAGATTTAATAAGATCTAATCTAACGATTTAATATTTTCCGGCCTTGGTAAGCCTGATTGTCACCAATTGAAGAATGTATTGTAAGTTTTCATACTGAGAGAATTTACTGCATTTTCCTTAACAGGTAGAACAAATGTTCTGATAAGAAACCAGTTGATTGCAGCATGGAATGTACACCAGAAAATAAATTATCAAAAGGGACACATTCCTTAGACCTCACAGAAAACACATTGGGGAACATGCCAATAGTATGATCTGTAGTTTTTGGGTCAGAACTATGGAATCAAATAAAATATAAACTCACTTTTTTTCTGATCCATTTTTTGTGACACAGATGGACGGGTAGGACTTAATACTGGCAGAGTGGTCATCCTCTCTGTGTTGTTAAAAGAAGCATCTGTAGACCACAACATCGTCTCCTCTGTAGTGGCAAACAGCCGGGTGTTGTCTTCGGAGCCCTCTGCCAAAGCAGAGTCAGAGGCAGGCTGATGACTGAACAGTGTGGCTTGAGTTGGGGGACCAAAGGAATTTTCCTGGAAAGATTCTCTAAATATATTCGAGTTCTTGTTCATTTGGTCAATGTGGGATAAAGGCGTGGTGGTCCGAGAAGAGGGCTGTGTGCTGAGATCCACTGTGCGATCAGTCTTGGAACTGTTTTCAACCATATTTGGCAAAAGATCACGAGACGTTTCAAAGTCACCGTTAACTGTGAGGCCCTCACTTCCGTTTGAATAAAAGCATGTTTTTTCTAACACTCCTGCAATAAAGGGAAAAAAAAAACACCAAAATTACTGTTCCCTGGAAGAATAAATGTTACCAATTTGTTTTGGAAAGTCAATAATAAATATAATGACACAGATTTAAAAAGTATTTTAATTTCAGAATTAAAATTAAAGACAACTAAATTTAAGAATTCTATCTAGCAAAAACAGTGGTACATAAAACATAATTGCTGTAGGAGAAGTAGAGAAAAAAATGCTTCCATAAGCTTAAAATATTTTAATTGTATTTATTGTATGTCACCAAATACTTACATGTTTAAAACTACAGAGTGCAATTTCAAGGAGCTGCAACATGCAATCATTCTATCAATGTGTTAACAAGATGGACAATGCTAATTTTTTCTCCTTTTAAACTGCATCATCTCTTGTTTTCATAGTACCACTATCTTCAGAAATCTAATTCTGAAGCTTTAAGGGAACCAATACATTTTTAATATATTCCATATTCACTAATTTGTAAAATGGAAAGAGGTACAGTTTTCCCTATATAAGATTATGTAATTAAACTACCACTGCTACATATGAGTTCTGTGTAATTCTTCTCTGATACTGGATTTTAAAGACACAGTTATTGTCTAAAATTTTAGTCGCTGGCTTTATTTTTTGATCATTTATTATATTATAGACAAAAGCAGACTTTGCTTAGCTGTATGTATTGAATAGTTGCAAGTAATTATAATTATAAATCAAAAGGTCTGCATAGTGTCGTTCTAATTGGAAACGGCGAAAAAGAACGACACAGACTCTCAAGGGAGTCAGAACAGGAGAAATCTCAGTTTATTACTACAGGTCTGTTTTTATAGACAGATACGTGGAAAGTACAGAAAGGAAACTCTTATTGGTTAGTAAATCAACACATCACCATCATTGGTCAGTGGCACAACACCCCCTGACCTTCTCTTGCAAGGAAAACAAGAGGACAGGCAAACAGCACCTGGCACGGCTGTTTTCTGTCTGTGAGGATTGTTTTTAAATCCTCCCATGAATTTCTCAGGCTAGCTCTCAGGCAGGACTGAGAAGCCATGCGGCCTGCAGTTTCTGCAGGCTCCCTGCAGCTTGCTCCAGAGCATAGTAAGTAGATGTATCCCACAAGCATCAGGAATTTAAACTACATAGTAAAAGAATTGATCTTTAATCTATCAATCCAAATAATAAAGAAAACATCCTAAACATGTATAGAACATATAACTTCTTTATCTATAATATAAACTACAAATACTATCTCAAATTCTTTAACCAAATGTATTAGAGTCATATTTAATGCTAGAAGAGAAGCACCACTCTTATATTACAATATAAGAAATTTTTGGTAAATAGCAAAAGCAATTTTTGCCACTGGCAGGTCGTGTCAAAGAGCTTAACAATCATAATAAACACAGTTCATCTAGACTAGATTGTAAAAAAAATTAAAAGAAATCCTGAAAACATAAAGTCTCCCAAATGTTTCTAAGTACCTAGGCAATAATTTCAATAACTTTTCTTCACATTCATTTGGTCCTTCATTAGCTCCTTGGTACAGATGGCAGCGGGGGTTGGAATTAGATGATCTTTCTGTGATTCTATGACATCTATTGCATTTACCAAAACGGCTGGTTGCACCATCACCTCTCACTTAGGCCTTGCTCACCCCCCACTACCCCAGGCTCTGTCCCTACACAAACACACCCCTCTGCCAACTGCAGGCACCACACAGAGCCCAAGAGGGTATCCTGAACCCATCCCCATCACTGAATTCCTCTTCTCACTCCTCCATGCAGTCTGCTGCCAGAATAAATCAGTGAACTGGTCTGAAATTCAAGGACTGGGCAGGTGGAAATGTTTATTAATCACAAGTAACTAAAAATTCCAGAAGAATCCAATTGAACTTTGTATTGGAAAGCTTTATAGGTAAGGGAGAAAAGAGAACTGGAATAGCTGGGAAGGGACAATGTCAGCATTTTCATTTTTACTGAGTAACCTTTAACTATAGCAAATGCAAACTGCAAGAAAAACTGGTGACATTTCTGAAATATAATGAGTTTCAGTGAAACAGTTATCATTTGAGATTACCATATTCTCATTTATCCAGGCTGGATTGTTTTGGCTCCAGTGTCACTAATGGTGAGTAAATCTTTATGTCTAACTTCTACTGGACAAACCCAGGGGAACTTTATGTATATCTAAATGTTAAGGTTTCTGGTTTTCCACCAGCAGATGTTCATAAATCATTGGGGTTTGGAGGAATTTACTGTATCTATTTTACAGAAGCAACTAAAAATCTCCCACATACAAATTATTTAAGCAGTATTTTTTTTGTTTGAGTCCTTTGGTCAGACCAAACAGTAAGTGCATTTTCACAAATAGGGACTAGTATTAATACGACTTGCTAAAGCCTAAGGAAGAGTGAATGGTTGTGCTCAGAAATTGTGCTCACTTAAATGTGGCTTTTTTTGGATGCCAGATATTTGTGTTCAAACAAAGCGCCAAATCTCTAGAATTCAGAAGCCTACTTTGTTTCAAGTTTCAAACTTAACTAGGGGTTTTTTTTTTCAGTATCCAAAGAGTGAAAATAAGCTTTTTTGACTCCTTTGGAAAAGTGCATAGTATTTTTCCATGATTCAAGAACAGCTTAAGGTATTTTTTCACATTCTCTCTCCTCCTCCCTAGACTCATCTCTTCTTTTCCACTCAGCATAAAAATAGAAAAAGGCTGTAAAACATTGGTCCCAAAGAGCTATTAATACTGATTTAAAATTAAAGTGAGTAGCTATTTATATATCAGTCAGCAGAATAGGAGACAATACATTACAAGACAGGTAAACTCTTGAAAGATGTTTGAAAACCCCCTTTGGTTTAATACAGTGGTCAAATAAATACTGTGAAGCAAAACATTAAGGCTACCCACTGGATCTTATCCTCTTCTCACTCTGACTTATTTCATTCTTTTTCTGGATCAACAAATAAAAACTATGTCTATCACTGCCATGAGGTCATATACTTCTTTTACTGAGATCCCCAAATGCTTGTTTGCTTCTTCAACCCATCTTTCTAACAACAGCATTTTTTGTTTTACTTTTACAATTTTCTAGTGATAACAACTCCTCTTAATAGGGGGACCACACAATGAACCTTTTTGACACAAAAGGATTTCCTAATTGTATCATCTCCACTGACAATGAGAAGTATTAAAATTCTTTTTAACATTTTTTCCCTCCAAAATAACATCAGCCTGGCTCAGGTACATATACCCTTGAGGGAGGCAGGCATAGGCCTCTGAGCCTCCTTCTTGAGTCACCTCTTTCTTCTCCCACATTGCCCTCTTATCCTCTTTTACCAATGCACCACAGAGAATTTAGTCACTTTATTCCAGGCTGCAGAAACCACTCTCTGTGCTGGGCTTCCACTTATTTTCATTTTCATCCTTCCCCCCACTCTTCCCTTAAAAACACTATTGTATATCTTAAATCCTAAATTAAGCTTACTGGATATGTTTTTATAGCATCTATATTTATATTTTAAGATACCTAAGGAAACAGAGTGATGCTTTAAAACAATGAGTTTTCTCCTAATCTCTTCAGTGAAGAGAAATTAATTACTCTCTATTGATGTTTGCTAGCAGACATGCAGCACATACAGAACATGCATTTTATTCATGTCTACAGGTACCTAGCTTCAGACTTGAGTTCATACAGAGCTGTAGATGGTAAACCATAAGCCAGATGATTAATTACTTGAGAAATAGATGTAACCATTTTCAATTTGTGTCTCCAGTTACACCTGGGCATGTCCAGATGACAAAAACATACGTATGCTGGCCTTCATTGTGCTAGGTACAAAATAGAGGTACTGGTATGAGACTCATTCATTTCAAAGCAACACTCTCCAGCAGTTTTAATAATCATTTCCAGTTGCTGTTCACTTTGGGGAATTAATGTTTTGCTTAAATATGGACAGGTTTTAAAAAATGGACAGTTTACTTGAAAATGGACAGCTAAGAGATCTAAGAAATAGTCACACTGTTCAAGTGAGTAAATTGAGATTCTGGCAGTGCAAACTGTCAAAGATTTCTAGCTGTTCAGAGCAGGAAAGCTCAAAAAGACCCAGTCTGTTTAAAAGCTAATGAAACAGAGCAAAGCAGCCTAACAAGATATGGTAATGGATGAGGCATTGCAAAGGAAATAAAGCACTGGTTCACTACTACAACTGGCCAGAACACATGAACTGAGATTTCTCCTGCAGGGTCTGTACCCATGACTGCACTCTGGAGAAATGGGCATGTTACTGATACTATGAAGGATCCATATTATACCAAATAATTGCACATCAGTTAACCTGCAGAGCCAGCCTGCCTTCCTTCCTTCCTTCCTTCCTTCCTTCCTTCCTTCCTTCCTTCCTTCCTTCCTTCCTCCCTCCCATAATTCAAATTAGCCAGTCAGTGCTATCAACTTATTTCTCACACTGAAAGACTTCATACCAATATAAGAATTCAGTTATTATCGACCTGAAATGAATATGAAGTACTATTTTGGATGTAGTGTATTCTTAGTTCCTATAACAGACTGTATTCTATTACACACACTTTAAATGTCCACAGCATTGGTTCATCTAATTCTGGTCATAAAATATATTTGCTTATAGGCTGTCAACACATAGGAAATTAAAGCTGCTGAGAAGGATAGTAACTTATAAAATGTTAATATAAAAGCTGCTTCTGAAGGGGCCTTTGCCAGTTTCATACTTGGGTTAAAACACCAAGCCTTATCCTTACCCTACAGTAATTATGTTGACTTAAGAGGAGACAGTCACGATTTTTGCTATGGAAGTTGGATCAGAACAGGCCCCATTTCCCAGCAGATTTCATACATTTTAATGACAGGTCGATACATGCCTGAGGAAGAGATTGAGTAGAGCTGATGTAAATACACCTGCTTTTTTATCTGCTTTCTCACCAAAGAATGAAAAACTAGGGCAGAGGATATGAAAGATACAAATGGAATGCTAAACATAAGGAAAGCAAATTTAACAGCTTCATATTTCCTAATTGCAAGAATTACTTGATCTTAATCCATTTCACACTGTTCTTAGTCTCAACCCAAGACTTACCTGTCAATCATAACATTTACTAGCTTTGGGTTCTTTTTTTTTTACTTCCTTAACTTAAACTAAATGAAAAGAACAGGTGTACAATGTCGTGTTCCATATCCTTTACAGACTGAATTGAGAAAACAGATCTAAATTGTTCTGGTTTTGCCAGTGCTTTTGAGGCATGTTTTGTTTCTTCCTATACTTGCTAACTGTTTGATGTGTATTGAAATTGGAGTATTTAAAATAGGAAAATAGATTTATATCTGTATATCTGGATACTGGATATGTTACCCCACTTATTTCAGATGTGCTTCTGAAGTACCTAAGGAAGCTCAATTAGAAAATATTCTCACTAAAAAGAAGAAAAGTAAAACCCCAAAAACACTTAGCAGTGAAAGCAATTTTTTTTAAACTTTTTTTTCCTGAAAAAATAATGCTTTCACCTAGTATTACTGTCGTTTTCATTTTGTATGTGAACCAACTTAATGATATGTCAGCTTCTCTAAAAGTAACAAAGAGAAGACTTTTTAAAAAATTCATGGTAATAAATTAGCACTTTTTAATTATGAAAAACATACACACAAAATTACTTAACAGACTAAGCCATTATGAAATCTAGTATACCTTGAACCAGTTTCCACAAAACATATTTGGAGTTCTGCACTGCTACATATTTTGTATGTAGAAGAAATGAACATAATTTTCCTTAGTTAGTAATATTTTGTATGCTGTTCAGAAAGATTTGTAGCTATTTATGAATTAAATCTCACCTGAAAATAAGAATCAGGTTTGCATATGAATGTGTGACATACACGGATAAATATTCCATTCCACCGATAGTGATCTAAAATTATAACAAAAGTATCTTTTGTACTTTTAAAAGGGCTGCTGAAAACTGTCTACATATTCAAGATAATATGTTCCTCAAAAATGTACCTTGAGAAAATCAGAAAAGGTTTCCTCATCAATACATTAAATATTATTTCTCTGCAACAAACAGTCACTAGGTACATTAGTTTTTCAGTTAGGTGTGCTACGATATATATCTAATGTCCATAATTAAATTAGCACTTGAAAATGTGGTCTTAGTTTTAGTTTAGTTTCTTTAATTTAAAAGTGTCTCCTTAGTTACAAAAGCACTCACCTACAAAGCTAAGAAGGATCACCAGCAAAAGGATGAGGGCACAGATGCATGGAATCAGTATCAGGAGCAAAAGTCGAAGGAACTTGGCAGAAGCCAGTTTCTGAGAGCAGCCGTCCCCCATATTATCCTCATCTGTTCCTAAGACCTGAAAAACAAAAATGCAGTTTTATCATGCTGGTGACCACCAGTAACTCCTATGTTTTCAATAGCAGTCCTCCCTCCCTATTACACAGCTGCATGATTTAAATATATGCTGTGAATAGCTAATAAGTTCTTAATGGCAAGTTGCACGTAAATTTTCTTTCTGGTGGACAGTCTACCACAATCCATATAATTTATTAAACTTTACTCAATATCCACAGTCCTATAGCTTCACTGAAATATCTAAACATTTCTGATGAACTGGATGTTGGAAAGGCATTTCATTTGAATAAAAATGTAAAACACATAATAAACATAAGGAATAGGGCTAAATACAGATTATAATTAAAAATAATCCATTAGTAATTATTCAAGAGCTCCATGTTCTTGTTTCTTTTATTAAAGCATCAAGATATTATTATAACATTTCTTTTAAGTGACAAAAGAAGACTTATTATGCACAATAATGACGTCTGTTTTTTATAAGTACCTTACAAAATTATAACTTAACACATTACTTTATTATGTAGAGTTTGCAAATCACATTTTCTGTTCTATGAGTGGAATACAAAAGAATAGAGAAAAACAATTTTCTGAATTCAACTGAGTTGCACAAAGTACAAAAATTCTAACCCTTGTAAAAGCCTAAACATGCATTTTATATTTTTTAAACCTAACTCCATTAATACTATGATCTCATATACTGGAGAAATGTCATACTTTTTAAACAGAAACAAAAACAAAAAGCAACGCTGAAACTGTTATGAAGTCAATGCCCTTTTATTTGAAACTGACAAAAAATAAATTTCTCCCTGTGATAATGTGGATGATAGGTTTATTCATTCCAGACAGTGTCTTCCCAAAGGATGACTAATAGTTTATCCTCTTTGTCAGGAAGATCAATCACATCAAAGTTGACTGTGTCAGGACACAATAGTAAAGGCATCCATTACCCTGACAGCCTCTCCCCGAAGAACCTCAGGAGACTGAAGTCTACAACACAAATAATATTAGTCTCATAAATGCCAGTCTCTGTGGGTTATCCCTCTGGCTGACTCTGCTGAACGTGCCTTTCTTTAAAGAGCAGGTCATCAGACTGACTGGCACAAACTGAAGCTGAACTATTTCTTAAGGAATTGCTGGAAAGAAACTGGATTTATACCATCCCACAACCTCACTGCCCATTTACTGCCTTGAATGAGAAGACTGTAGGTGTAAGTAGGATTTGCAGAATAATTTCCCATCATTCTGTAATGTCTCTTGTTCCAGCCTGGCATAAAGACTATTTGGAAGGGAATTTTCCTTGCTGATAGCAGAATTATCATCTATTCCTGAAACCCCTGGTTACTCGACACTGCAGACCCTTGACAGACAGCAAAAGCTAAGAAAACTGCACTTGTGAAGTTGTATCTTTTCCGTCGCTGCTAAGCATCATGTCATCTGACCACTTTGAGATTCATCCAGTGCAGTGTCTGTCCCATTTGACTTATTTCCATTTCTTCCATTTGACTTACTTCCACTGTTCAAAGTAAAGACATTAACACTGAAAATGCACATGGTACTGGTATGGTGTGAGCTGCTAGTAGTATCTCACAGTCCTCTTATCCCAGTGATTCAGTCTCAACACAGTCCTACTACTACATTTATCTAGCAAGCAGGATGGTAAACTCAAAGATGTTGGATTTATTGGAAAATCTGAAACAGCCAGCTCAAGATAAGAATAAACAATGTCTGTTGAAACAGTCTGAGTGAGACGACAAAGTCTGTAATCTGATCCTCATTTCCCAGAACAGGAGAAATATAAATGATACTGGAGAGAGTTAATTGGTTGTCAGAATTGCTTTCTCTTAATCAGCCACTTATTCAGAAGTTGCAAATGTTTCAAACCAAGACTTCAGGCTATCTCAGCTTAATTACTGCCCCTGTCCACAAGTGACATCTAAAACATTCAGTCACAGATAAAGTTAAGGATTTAGGTGAATATTAGGAACTTCAATCCATGTGACGTTTAGACAATACCTGCTTGACTTCCTGCAGTCCACACTCGTCTACCTTTTCATATTAAAGTCTTCAGTGTCTGCCTGATGTTTTGCTTCTGGTAATGCTGGAATCCAGGAGCTTTAGCTGCTGTACTCATAGCAACTTCCCTGAATTCCACAACCTGGGTTTGCACGGCCTGTATTATGCCCCCTTGTGAGCACAGGTAACAGAGGAATAACACAACTCTGCTGTGAATACAGATCTCCCAAAACACTGCCATAATTACTTCTGAAAGCACAGATAACAGTGCAGTGGATGCAGCGCTCCCACAGGAAACCGGGAAATTGAGTTCAGTACCCCTTTTCACCTGAAGCAGTTAAAAAATTAGATCTACAACTCAGCAGACTATCACAACCACTTGAGCAATGCTTCTCTAAGCACCATGAATTGCTTGTTCTGTAGAACAGCAAAGTAAATATTTATAGCAAACCAAACAGCATGTTGTATTTTTCCCTTCTACAGGAAAAGACCTCAGGAAAAACAACATACCTACTTAAATCATCACCAGTGACTATGCAAGCATAAACTTAATTTTTCCAGATTCCAAATTTTACCATTTTCCATCACTTGAGTATCTACAGTATTTTTTTTCTGTCAATTTCTCTAATGAATATGAACTAAAACTAGAGATAGTACTACTGGTTCCTATCAACAATGAGAATTTAATAAAGTGTCCTACCTTAATTACTTTTACTACCTTACTTTTTAATAAAGTATACTACCTGATAGTATTTATTTTCTTCTTGCCACAAAATATTGCAATACACACACCAGCTTGAAGTGCTCTAATATGACAATGGTAATCTGCATAAACTTCAGACATGCTCTGTTCTCTCAGTTCTAATAAATAATGGAATAGAGGAACAAATAATAGACTAAAGACATAAATAATGGAATCTTCAGATAAAAATGGGCCTATGGAAGGAAACAGGAGTGCAAAGTGCTTATCCCTCAGCTCACTTCAAGCTTCTAGGTTAGTGGCTAAGAGAAGAAACCAGTCTCCCTCAACTCTCTGTGTAGTTAATAGTTTCTCTGACTCATTCTCCAAGTCTGTAAGACTGAGGTACCTGATAGATATATATTTATCTCTCTTTCCAAGAGAAGGACAAGAAGACTTAAAAGCAGCATCCTTGAGGGCCCACTGAAAGAAATCAACCCTAAATGCTAAAGATTTCAGCATAAAATAGATTTAGACAAAAATCTACAGCACTGGACTAAAACATATTCTCAATACTTAACACTGGTGCAAGTTCTCTTAGTAGCACTGTTGTTAGAAAACTCAATCTAAGAAATATTTTTCTGAATTAAGTACTATGTGCACTATAGTTAGAAAATATTGGTGTTTGTTTTTTAAGGCCAAGAAGTCATTTGTTTTTAATACAAACAGGTTTTGTATTTAACAAGAATATAGTCAGAACAGAGGATGCCTAAAAACATCCAATAATTTCTTCTGGCAGGTAAAAAGTTTTGTCCCTAACCAAATTATATTAACTGCTGCTTATCTGAGTGGCATTCTTTCAGTAACAACTGCAAGACTTCCTATAAAGGAAATAGACTAAAGGGAAATTCTGAGAAAATTTCAGTCCATTTTTTAAAAATTCTAGGTTTATCTAGGACTGCTGGATCAGACTGCTCAGTTTATTTACTGGAACAACAGAGGCAGAAAAAAAGTAAGATGGAAAAGAATCTGGAGTCCCATCTGACTACAAAAAGACTAAAAATTCATTGGACCAAAATTCACAGCTTATTTTCTGAAAGCCGTGGAAAGAATCTGATCTCATGGCTGTCATTTCAATAACATGCCTGTCATATTAAAGCAGAGAAATGACAGACTACATTAAGATTTATGGGTGAAAAGCCTATGGTAGCATGCAATTTTCCTTTTAGAAGCTAAAAGTATCTAAGTTACTAGTCTATAAAACAGCCTGAATCATGGTATAAGCACTTGACAAAAATATCTCCTGCTGTTGTCACTAACAGAACTAACAGATGTTCTCCCAATAAAGAAGTATCATTAGGGCTAATTGCCTACTGTCAGTATCTTCTGTGCAAGATGGGTCTCTACACAGAAATGTAGAAGACACCTCTTGGATCAGAAGCATTAATATATCTTGAGAATTATTTAGTGTTTGGAATGGAAAGTGGAAGGAAGTACTACCATGAAATGCAGAAAGAATGCCAGGGGGCAGGAAACAGGTGACCTCAGAAGTCCCCCCATTGTCCTCAGAAGTCCTCAAAGTGCCATTGAGGAATCTGCTATCCAGCCAAACAATAAATATGTAAGATTAGGGAAACTATCTTCAGCTCTTTACGTATCCTTGATATTGTCCCTGTTCTAACGTTGAAGCAGTGCTCAGTTGTCAGCTCTTGTGATTTCATCTGCTCTTATGATGCTGGTCTTAAATCTCTAGATACTGGACTGACATGACCACATCAGCCATTACATCTTTCCTTTTACCATTAAAGGAAGATGGTTCCCACTTGTTATGGCTACAGAGAAAAAGCTGAACATGTAAAGTGTCTACTTTTAAACACAAAACACCATAAATATATATAAATATAAATATACTCATTCTTACAGCCTTTTTTGATCAACTCATGATATTCAAAGGCCTGGTAATGAGTAACATAAGCTGAAAATGGCCTACATTTTTTATCAGCTCTGTCCTGTTTACGTGAATATTATGAGTCACCAATGTACCTCTATTTGACTACTTTATTGTCAAAAAAATGTAACACCATACTTCATCATCATTGTAACAAGTTGTAAGTGTAAGACAAATCCTTCAAAGGTACAAAGTCATATGCTAAAAACACAAATAGGCAAAAAGTTGCAAAATATTTCATTTTCAGTGTTAGAGGAATTAGAGAGCCAAATTGAAATGGACCATGATGAATGAATGTTAAGGCAGCAAAAGAAATTGGATACTAAGCAGATTTTGTTTGCAAATACAGGCAGTATCC